ACTGCAGAATTTCGTAAGCATAGCAGGACTGCATATCATCACCTATGTTACATGAAGAGAAAGAGGTTCACAAAATTCCCAAATAAAATCTCACTCTGGAGGCAGAGTTTTTTTCTTGGTGGAAATACCTCTTTCAATCACAAACATAACTTGATTAGTACAAAGTAGATATTGGCTATGACCTGGCTTGATGAATTTGCTTTTTGTCAGGGATCAAGATACAATCATGGTTACTAAATATTCTGATTCACTGCCCTAAGAGGACCTGTAGTGATGGCAGAAGTGGTTACTGCTTTTCTACCTGCTCAATAACAAACAGCCAACAGAGTCCACCCTCAGCTAACAGCTGGCCATTCCAGTGTATTAACATAAATCATCCCTCAGAGAGTTAATGCACTGTGTTTTAGACTATGGCAACCAGTCACCTGTCCCTTGCTCACACACAGGCTGCAGGCCACGTCACAGCCAGCAGGGAAGCTATGGGCAGGAGGAGTGTCAGCTGCCAGGGTTAATCAACACCTGAGAGCATGAGTCAGCCTTCCCCAGTGCACAGATTATACAGCACAACTCTGATTTCTTCTCATTTCATAAAAATTACTGAGCACCTTTTATAACACGTTCTTTAGCTAAAAAATGCTGCAAAAGTGCACCTCGGGCAATGAATTAACCTGTTTCACCAACTTGCCTGCTATGCCTATTCAATTTATTATATACTATATGCCTGTATAATATAACAAGTTCAAAAGAGGTTAAAACATTCAGAAGCTGTTCAGTCTACAATGTTTGGAGAAGCATATGAAACAGAAAAATCAAATCTCTATCTCAGATGTATTTGTCAAATACTCATACAAGAGGATACAATATTGATTGCAATGTCATCTAAATTTTGTCATAAAAAGTGCTTAAGTCTTCTAGTGGAGAAAAAAAATTGCCACAAACTGAGATCAAAGGCATGCTGAGCTATCAGAACAATATGACTAATTGTGCTTTTTTTTTTCCTTTTTTTGTTTCACTATATAAAAAGAAGCTTGATCTTATACTCTAATATTTATTAAGAACAGGTGACTTGAGGCCATCCCACTTTGCTGCCCCTTTTTTAGGTTTGCATACAGAGAAGTATACTGCTTGTGTCTTCAGGCACTTTCAATTTGATAGGAAAAAACATAAGGATAGAGAAGCAGTGGTGAACAAAGGGTATTTTAAATCTGTTACCAATTAAGAGTTTCATTTGCCCTATTCAACTAGATGCATAAATATTTGCTGTAATAGATATTAAAGGCAGTATACACTGTTTGCTTGCTAGAAGTATCAAAAACATAATATCTTAATACTATATTCTTATTCTCACATCTGGAGGTCGTGGGTACAAATGACTATCAGTAATTACAAAATTTCAAAGTACTAAGTGATTCATCTGTACTACAAAACTATACTTCAACAATTAGCTGTTATCAAACTCAAGTTAAATAAACCCATGATGATAAATAATTACAGTTTAAGACTTCAGCAGATTAAATTATTCTGATGGGAAGGAGGGACCCAGCTGTAAAGCTTTTGACATTTTTCCAAACAAGCTGTCCACAAGTAAATCAGAGAAGTCTGATACCAAGGGAGGTATAAAGGTAGCTCGAATATTATAATAAGTTAAGATAGAGAAGATGCCTTTTAAATTTGCAGTTCAAGAAAAGACTGCTAAATATCATGAAGACAAACCTGGAACTCACACTAACTTTAAGAAGAGATCTGGAAAGGTAAATATGGAATTATTTGATGTCCTAAGATGTGCAAATCATGGTACACACTGGAACTAATGATGGGGTGTCAGAGCTACAAAAAGAGCTCTGGCCCTTTTTTGGAGTCACATTCCAGCTGACCATATATTGAGCGTGGCAGCTGTTGAGAAATAGGGAGCCATCATGCTTAGGTACCTAAGTGGAAGGAGGGGCTACAAGATACATGAATATCTGTCGCACTGGTTCAGCAGAAGTAATGACTCATCTGGACAAACATGCCCTAGTTTTGGGGTCCTATATTTCAAGAAAGATGTGAATTAGTTGAAAAGAATCTCAAAGAACAAAACAGTGTGATCAAAAGCGTAGAAAACACTATTTATCAGGAAAGATTAAATGAATTAGGTGTTTTCTAGGCCCAAAAGAAAATAGAACTGAAGGTGGACATAAAAAAAAGTCTCAAATTATGTAACAGATTCCTTTGAAAAGAAAAAAGAATAATTTCTTTTCTATGGCCATAGTGAGCAGAAAAAATAAGTTAATGTACTTTAACTGCAGTAAGAAATATCTGTTTTAGTTATGACCAAAACTACTGCCCTCAACTTCCTACATTTCTTATATTACAGATGCTGAAGCAATACAATTTCTAACAGGCTGTGAAATACTCATTTTTGCAGGTTTTTAGAAAACCAGTTAGACAAGCACGTATCACCAATTACTTAGGTATAGCTATTTCTGTCTTAAGAATATATTAGAGAACTTTCTGAGATTCCTTGCAGTCCTATGGGACTCAAAAATCAAAACTTATCTCTTGTCCACTGATGATATGTAACCACTCAACTTCAGGAAGGTCACGTATCTCTGATAACCAACTGTTATGTTTCAAATATGCTTTTTCCATCACTGCCCTTCTGGGATGATCTTCCCATGAACTGTTTCAAGATGTAATACATTACACTCCAAACTATCCTTAATGTTTACAATGACTCAGTAACACTTCCCTTGCTAGTGTGCTAGTGCTGTCATCTGAGACATTTGAGATACAGACACCTGAATTTCTGCATATATGACTGTCCACTTTGTTTCATTAAATGTGTTATGGTTTGACTGTGCACTCTTTGGGGCAGGGTTTATCATGTAGTTTTTTATTTCAACAGTCCTAAGCACAATAAAATCTCTGTCATCTGTGAATGTTAGCTGCCATGGTACTACAAACAATAATGACACAATGTGCTAACAAAACAACACAGCAGGGTGCTATGGGAAAGAACTGAGATTAATTTTACGCAACTGGCCATGTAGTGCAGAAAGTGTTTGCAGTTGGTTTGGTGTCGCTTTAGTCTGGGCTCTTTCCGTGGAAAATCCTGCATCAGCACTGTATGCTGGTGGGTAGTGCACAGTGGTTCCTGTTCACCCAGAAAATATAGGCTCTTATTTATCTGGCTCTTCCTGAAACGACTTATGGGCACAAAAAAAACCCCAACCAAACAACAAAAAACAAAACCACAAAAAAACCCAAAAAACCCACATTCAATTGCTCCTTATGTTTGGTCTGGTTTTGTTTCGTCACTGATGCACTGTTAATAGCCACACTCTTCTTTGTTTTTACTTTAAACTTGTTACAGACTTTGTAAATTATTTGTATTTTGCAAAGTACCCGCCAATAAAACAACCTTACTGGTAAAGGATAATGTTGACTTTGAAAGTAGATACTGAGTATATTCCAACCTTCTGGTTAAAACCGGTTATAATCCAGCCTTCCCCCTAAAGTGATTTGATCTCATAAAGCATCAACCAGCCTAAGGAACAGTTCTTTGGCTGGAGAGATTTTCCGTCATTTGGCTTTGGGTATTTTGAAGTTGTAGAATTTACATTTGGCAGATATCTTCATACTTCTCTTTCTAAAGTGACTGAAACCACTTATATCTTTCACACTCTTCTGTTTAAATTTACACTGCTTTCTGCCTCTGTGAGCACAAGGGAACCATCATGACTTTTTTCTGCTTCCCATTTCTCTTGCAGCTGTGTGTCAGTATCCCTCAATCCTATCTTATGGGTGAATTCTATCTTATGGGTTGTGTTAACTAAAATAATAGCCATGCTGGCTCAGAACAAAAGTCTGTTTCATTTGGCACTGTTTCTAACAGCAGTCTAGGGGTCTACAGCATACCTAGAGTGGCATAAGAACATGACAGGCAACCATAGAATAAGCTCCCCAATTGCAAGGATCTGCAGCTCAGAGACTTTCAGAGGCAAAGGTGATCCCTTTCTAAAATAGCTTAGGACTGGGTTTTATTATGTTGTCCTATGCCTTAAGAAGAACGTCATGGGTACTTTAAACAAATAATTCTACATGTAATTTTATGGGCTATAAATTAAATACATTCAGGATCATTTCTACAATGCAAGGAGGTCCCAAAACTTCTTTTCACTTCCCTATCCTATTACAATTCAAAAGTAGGCATACAAAGGGTTCAATGATCAAGAAGTCAGGAAGACAGAGAACTGTTCACTGGGAAGCCTACAACCCAAATAGGAGGTGACTGTCAGAAGTACAGAATTTACACAGGTAGTGTGCACTCTTCTTGGGAAATACACATGGTCCACTCAGGAAGTTCACTGACCACTACATGAAATCAAGAATTCTGAGTGGAATAAATAACAAATGTAGCTGACTGAGGCATTAATGAGCAGTAATATCTGAAGATGGAACATGGTGATTAATGGAAAGCTGCACCTATGAATAATAAAACCTGTTCTGTTCACTTTTACACACGAGTGACCTAGAAAAAGGAATTTGCAAAATCGTCATGAATTTGGTCGTTAAACAAATCTGGGCGAGGATATGAGAGATAAAACTACAGTTAACAACAATTAAGGTGGAAAAAGGATACGGGATAGATGTCCATACATAATTCACCAATGACATGGAGAAAGCTAAGAATAAACAAATGACAAACCTGTAATACCTTTAGAACAATGTATATAAATATTAGAAGCATGACTGAAAGCCAAACATAAGTCTCATATCTGGGTATATATAGCAAGATTATTTTATCTAGAAATCGACAAAAGAGATGTAACTTCAAAAAGTTATAAACATACCGGTTTCAATGAACTTAAAAGTCAGGCAGAACATGGGTATCATTCAAATGCAGTAACTATCTATTCATTTTCCTGGGAAGAATATATTCCCTTATAACTGCAAAGCTGAGAAACATGCCGAAATATTGAAAGCACAAGTATCTGTTACCATACACTCACACTTACCCACATGGTCTGTATGTAAAAACAATATAGCTTTCCTCATCGCTTCGTTCGATAAATGTAACGCACGTGTACTTTTCCCAGTGCCGCATGGCCTGTTTGAACATGGCGCGCTGGGTGCCTGGAAGGACAGTTGTATGAGATGAAATAAGAGACTTTTCTAACTGCATCTTTCTCCTTACAAGCCAGACCAGGAATATAGGCCTGGAAGGAGTCAGTGAATCATGAAGCCCTGTGTGTCCCAGTAGTCCCATGTACTGCCAGATTCCAATTAAAGGCATACTCAGAACATCATCTCATCATACCATATGTGCCTGCAAGGGAACTGATACTGCCTGACACACTCTAGTAAATACAAAACCTGCAATAAAAACCACAACTATTTTACACCAGAGGAAGAAATCTAGTGTTGCTTATGTGCCTGCATCAGCATAATATTTGCTACGCAATTTCCCAGATGAACATCAAGTGAATCACCTTGAGGGGAAAAAAAAACAGAAAGGAAAAAACAAAGAAATCTGAGGAACTTTGGATTTTAGCTATCTATCTAATAGAAAGAAAGAAAGAAAAAAAAATCCTACAGCCTTCCACTCTGGAGACCAGTTTAATCTAAGCCATGTAAACAGGCATACCAGTCGAAGCATTTGATTTAAATAAGGCTGACCTCAACACGGACAAGTCTCTTCTTCTTTGCATCAAAATCTTTCAGAAAACAAATAATATATCAAAAGTAGGAAATTAAGAATTTGGTAAAATGCTAAGCGCATGTAGATACTCGTTTTAAAAATGAGAAACACATTCAGAAAAGGTCAGAGCTATACCCTACATGCAGATGCAGCCAGGCCAGCTCTCAGCACAGAACACAAAGCCAGCCAGTACACAGTACTTCAGAGAGCATAGCAATGTTATTTCACTGCCTGACAAAAGACAAAGTTTATTGACATAGGGGCAGTATCTGAGAATATAGCTGTATTGCTTCAAAAAGAACATTATTATTTGGCAAGAATTTGCTAACAGAAATGCATCCTTCTTGCAGGTTACAGCATAGGATAATTAAAAAAAAAATCTTTTTTAAACTTAAAGATGAAAAAACCTCAAAGTTTGTAAAAATGGCAAGTTCAAATCATATCTGATTCTAAAAATTAAAGGTTATCCCATCCAATCTTGCCCTTTTCCTTTATCTTTAAGCAACATTTTCCAAGCTTTAGAATTTGACTTTCTTTATGAAAAAGGCAAAATGTTTAATCTGGTATGCTTTCATTTAGCTTACTATGATTATTTCAGAAAACAGTAATCCTAAAGCAAAGGTCACATTTGGTATAGTACTATGTAAATTCACAAACTGGAAGTTTGACTGTAGATGGCAGTTTGAAAGGAATGAATGGTTTCTCCATATATACGCAATGTGTGAGCATGTGCGTGTTTATTTTGGTTCCCTGTATTATCATGCACAGTAAATGTTATTACATATTTTTCCCATTATATTTGGGTTTTTTTGCTTCATTCTCTTTAAAATTATCTCTTACATTCTCATCGATATTGATCCATTTATATTTTTCAGGGATAACAAATGTTTTAAACTTTTTCTACAGTTTTCTGCCAAGAATTCTATTGGCAGTCTTTCTTCTTGTCATATATAATGTCTGTGTGTACCCATCTGAAAACCAAACTGAGGAATGACAAAACACATTTGAGTCAGTTTGTTGAGTGAAATCAGTTCAGTAGAATACATGTCACACCAGTTGAATTAGATATATACTTGTGCCAAATATCCTGCATTAAAAAAAAAAAAATCCCCTAAAAAAACAGATTTCTTGACATTCTGTTACTTTGGCTCTTGGAAACAAACATGCAACAGGAAATATTAAGCAAAGAAAAAGAGCCTTCCCTATCTAAGAGGTAGTTATACATTTTTATTATGTAGCTTGCCTTTGAAAACAATTAACTAGACTAAGATTTTTCTTTTGACTTTCATATTATGACTTGACTTCTAAAAATTAAAAAAAAAAAAAAAAAGAAGGCGGCGGCAATTTAAAAAAATCATATTTCCTCTTTCCATCCAAAGCATAAAGCTTACCAGTGAAATTTCCACCTATAACATATGGAATGACACCCCCTGGCCATATTCTTTCTGTTCGTGATGTAGCAGCTCTAGGAAATCGGTTTTTCTCATTTTTCCCTGAGAATTTTGCAGTAGTTCTTCCTTTAGATGTATTATTTTGCTCAAAACCTGTAATGATAATTAAAATACTGAATGAGGTCACACACACACAAAAAGAGAACAACTATTTTCCAGCAGGTCAAACTCAGATTATTTCTTTATGCCTCTTAAAAGTAGGACATTGCTGTTACGTGACAGTCTATCATTACTTAGTTTTCTGAGAAAGGCTTGAAATAAGTCTGAATCCTCATTTTTTAAACATATCTCAAGTAACAATTTTGCATGTATGTTTATCAACTGGAATGAGCATTGCATAATTGCATCTAAATTTTCTCCTTTAATAAAAATATTTGGAAAATTACACTGTGTTTTTAGTGGGTTTTTTTGGGGTTTCTTTTTTTTTCAGGCTTTAGTGTTATTTTGGACCTTTTAATATACTAGTATTTTTCCAGCAAAGAAGGAAAGTCTTTGGACAGACTCAAAGTAATCAAAGCATTCACTATCTTTTTCATTTTTGTTGTACGATCTGGAAAAAGCACCAGAGTAGAAAGAAGTCCATACATTTTTCATAAACTAACTTTTGGACCCTATGAATAAGTATTACTCGTGGTTGGAGTTTCTTTACAAGAGAAAAAAATATCTACCATTCTCAGGGATATTACCACCATTCATTCCATTACAGTCAAATCTTTCTAAATCAGCTGAAACCTACAGTGACAACAGAAAAGGATAAGGATAGTTAGACAAGGACTTGCACACCAGAACAGGTGCTTCTTCTGAAGCAATTTATAGGTTAGTAGGCAGATCTGAGCAGTTCATAAAAAACAGACCCCTTGAAAGGTGATCAACAAATCCTACTCAGTGCAGTTGAAATCTTACTCCTCATTGAAGAGCACACTTTCCCTCTGTGAGAATCCCCTGTGATACCAGGTGCACCGAAGTGTTAATGACTATGTCAGAATCAGGAAGGATTCCAGGCAGGATCACAGTAAGGAATCTTGGAATAGCCCCAGGGCTGAGAGAGCAGCAAAAGGAAGAAAGGGGAGAAGCTCCAGCACAATGCAGGGAGAAAGCTCTTTGATACACAGGAAGAAAAGCCTGTCTTATTAACAACCTGCATGTAACAAATTATATCAGGATTGATACAGAAAATTCCAGGGATTTAAAAAAAAAACAAACAAAACAACACACTCAGGTAAAACAAGTAACTTATCCTTGTAATTAAAAAAGTGTGTAAACGGGAATTATGCAACAGTCTACACAACAGGTAGACACTTTACAGAAAGACTATTGTTACACTTAATATGCAATCATTATTGAACCACTTCAGATGTTTACATAGATGTTTTACCATTTCAAATTCTTTTTATCAGTGCACTCCAGAACTCTAGGTAAGAAATTTATGCCAAATTGTATGTGAAAGACTACAAGAATTTATGCAATACTAAAATTTTAAATCTCTTATAAAGAATGAAAATTATATATCAAAGCACATCTGCAAAGGCAGTTACCATGCTCTGGTTAACCTTGCAAGATACATTTAGACAAAATGTGGTACGATTACAATGAAGTTTTACATATTTTCCTTTTTGAAGTTGACGTTTCACGATATTAAAGTGAAGTCTCCTTGCATTAAATACAGTGAGTAAACTCAGCCAGTATTATTGGGGATTCCACTTCTGTGGGCTGTTGAATTCAACTACATTTATACCGACAAGAGCATGATTAGTATAAAAATGTGCTTGTTCGGCATAACACACTACAAATGATTCAAACACAGTATGAATCATCAGAATGCCCCACCTGGATCCAGAAAAAAGAAAGAAACAAACAAAATTAGTAGCTATGCAGCATAGCCTACCTGCCATGAAAAGACACTGTATGGATATTAGTTGAGCTGATAACCGTGAACACAGTCATACAACAAAGTTAAGCGGTTTTTAATACAAGATTTAAAAACTATGTATTTTAGCTTTTGATACTGATGTAGAAATCTAAGAAAAAACAACAAAAAGCTAATCTCTTCATTACTATTCTTGCACTACTTATTTTATAATTTGTTTATGCCAATAGCAATACAAGAAGGCTTTAAAGTGTTAAAATACTATCATCATTAACGTTCATGATACACTATGACATCAGGCAACTTGCTAATTTAAACACTGAAAATACCAGAGCCAAATCTTCTTATCCTCTCTATAAGCTGATAGAGGGCACCGTGTTTTTTTGACATTCCATGTTCTCCAAAGCCACCTTTAAAAGGAAAGAAAAAAAAAAAAAGAAATTTTCAAAAGTTAAAAACATGGAATCGTAAACCTACAGCAACTATATAGCCTGGAGAAATTAGAAAATGTCCCATAAAATCTGCAATGCAACTTAAAGGCAACTTAATATTTTTAATGATTTGCATAAAAATTTTTCAAGTATTCTTGACAATGCAATAAAAACACATTATTAGCTGAAAAATTTTCTAATATGCATTCCATGAATGTAAGTCAACATTTCTTTGTTAGTCAGGCAAGTCATGACAATTACATCATTTAATCATTATTTGGAGCTTTTTTTGTTTCTGGTGACCTTGACATCCTCAGAGCTATATTGACTGACAACTAAAAGGCTTTCCCTTACAGAAATTTCCTGAGTGCATGCCACAATTTTCTCATTCCAAGGGAGGGAAAGAGAGAAAGCAAACAGCCAAAGTTTCATCAGAAAAAAAAACTAACAAAAAAAAAATAAAAAACCACAACCAAAAAACCCAACAAAAACCCAAACCACAACAACAACAACAAACGACAAAAAAAACCCCAACCCTTCACCACACACAAAAAAACCCCAACAAAAAACCTCCAACAAAACTGATGCAAACTTAATATTTTTGATTTTACCATGAAAGATTTGGGTTTTTTTTCCAGCATGCAAATAGATGTCAATGCACTCTAAAGGCTTTGAAACATTACAAGCTGGTGTATATTGCAGTAAGACCTCACAGGCATATAAATAGATAGATAGATAGATATCTGTGTCATTACAGCAATCAAAGAAAATCTAAGTTATGAAGTAGTTAATTTTAACATTTACCATCCCATTTACAGAAATAAAACACATTTCTGGGTTTACTGTATGCATTCTGACACATACACCCTTCACATATAAACCTTTTGTGGCTGCAAGTGCCTTTTCAATCACCAGTAAACCAGAAACAAGAACACTGACAACACTGCACTAGTCAATTAAATCATTCAGAATTGTTCAGAAAGTTTTGTGATTTTCATAATTTTGCACTAGGTTGTATTTTACAATTCACAATCTGTTATAGGACAAGTGAATTTTTAAACTACTTTTACAATAGAAAAAGTAAAAAGATGGAAACACATCATTGACACCTCCAACTGCCATTAAAAAGACCTTTCCAAAATTCCTATGAAAACTTTCAACGTATATGTAGAATATACATTTATTAAACAGTAACTTAAAATCATATTGCACATGAGAAAATTCCATAAAAGGTAAGTTAGTGTGTGGTTGCTCAGTGAATAACAATGGGCCTAATTATTTGGATTACACTGTCACATAGTTGCTGGCTCCCTCGAGAAAAAATTTCCAAATTTTTAAAAACATTTTAGATAGATGAGGTAATACATTCCTTTCCAACAAGTTGTATAGTAACTATAGCATATACTGCATAGAATATAACATTGATCATCATTAATGTAATTGTCTCGCATGCTACCATTCATCTTATAAAATAAGGTATATAGCTAAAGATTCTAAAAGAATATTAAAAAGTCCTTAAAAGCATCATCTGTCAGAAATAACAGAAAACCCCCAGAGAATCCATTATTTACTTAAGGAAATTATTATACTATATTTCTAGAAAAAAAAACAACTCTCACTTTTGTCTTACCACTGCTTGTGGTAAGACAAGCTTTTCGCTTTTCATTTAGCGAAAACTAAAGAAGAAAAAGTATCTCAGCTAGACTAAGCTGTCTTATATGAATAATATTAAGTCTTGCCAAGCCACACAGCCTAAAAAAAATTTTAAAAAAATTTATATTTGCTGTGTCCTCTCACAGTTCAAGCAGGAGAAGGTAGATGGTTTAGGCAGTTTGGACTCAATATACACATAAAATTTTTATCAGCTCTACTGTTGTTTCTGTTTACAGTGATTATGCATTTTGCTTGGACGGAATGAAAAATAAAATAAAAGAGCCATACTCCGGGAAGCTCACAGATTATCTGACAAATCCAGACAGATAATCCTCCCGAAAAGGAGCAGTCACATAATGTGAATCAGGGCCTGTGAGCCTCAGGTTTTTAATTAGAGTTGCAATGACAAGTGTTTCTCCACCACTCCATCTTCATGGTTTACAACCAAGTATCTAACCCTTCTACCACGTCACCTTTAGTTTGTGAAGACCAGCTACAGAGGATGCTCAGAATTCAAGCTTGCAATTGTGTTTATAACTAAGGTAAAATTTTGCTGGCTATATTACAGACATTTTACATTCCTTTTCCAGTTGCTACCTAATATCAACTAGCTAGTTGTTGGCAATTTGCTATTTCAGGAATTCAGGGGAGAAAAGCACACTAGGCTGTGCAGTTTGCAAAAATAGGCTAAATTCCAAGTTTATGTACCAAGAATGCTTTAAATGTAGAAAAAAATTACATATGTGCAGTGCAAAATTGAGTTCTCCAATGTTGTTTTTAGAAAAAGCAAGAATGCTGAGGGTTCACTGAGAGCAATTAAGTCATCAACCTCAAGCTTGTTGTCAAAAGTTTAGTCCTGCTGACTATCACAGTTGGATTGACTTGTCTTGTGCAACACAGGTAGAAAAATTTGATCCAAATATGTTAGTAATCCTCAACAGGGTGACTCGATATCCTGAATAGGATACCATCCACAAGAAAAGATAATGTGCCTATCACAAAACATGTAAGGAAGGAAAAAGTAAATAATATTAAATATAATTTAAAAACTGCTTAGTAATGTATATTGTTTCTGTAGCCATTAACAAAAAAAAAAGAAAAAGAACAACTTTGCAGTTAAAAAGAAGAAATAGAAAAGCAAGAAGAAAACAAGAAAAGGGAGTCATCGGGCCAAAGAAATCACTTGACTGCATTACTCCAAGGGGAAATGAGTGATCTTAGTCTACATTTTGTAAACAAAACTATTGCCTGAAATACCTTCAAAAGGCAATTTAAACTATTTGTTTGGGGGAAGGGAGGCAGGGAGACCACTGATTCTAAAATTTTAAAATCAAGTCTAGATCTAGAAATTATCAACACTGTTCCTGCCTTGAAAAGACAAGTGGATTTAAAAAAAGATAAAATAAATTTGCAAGTTGTCATCTAAATAGTCTAATCACAACATCTACATAGGAAGAGTAAAAATATTTTTAAAGTTATCAATATTGAAAGCTTAAATTTAAAATTGCTTCTTTCACCTGAAAAATGTACTTCCACATATCAGGAATAAGTTACAGTATCTCAGTTCAGGACCATATAAAACATGCTGAATAGAAAATAATTTTTAATTTTACATTTATAGATTCTCTAATAGCATTTTTTCCAGACTTTTCCTAAGTAACTTGTCTTTTTATGGTATCATAACCCGAAAATTTACAAATTCTCAGTTATCGATTTACAAATCAGATCCTGAAAGGATAAATATTTTTAAATATTAGATAGACATCCATTTAGATATGGATTATGTTTTTTCTCTTCTGCAAGCACACATATGTACACATAAATAATATCTCTTTATCTATGCGTCTGAATATCCAGCTGCCTGTGTTAATCAGATTGCAGTTCTGGTAATAGTGCATTGTATGTTAACAATAGCAAATAAACATATACTAAAATGCTGTATACATAGTTGCTTTTTAGACAAGGCAAATTATAGCAAGGATGACATGTTCTAATGCTGCTTCTAGATCTAGGTACAGAACTGGATGAAACACAAAAAAGAGCAAAAGGAGAGATGGTAATCTGAGGTCCCCAGTTTTGTCTCTAGGATAACCCATAGGTTCTCCACTATCAGGAACTTTCAGTGAAGAAATCAAAGCTTTGTACAATTTCCTTTCCCTCAGGACCACCTGCAGAGTACACTCATGGTTTCTACCAGCTTCTGCTCCTCAGTTCAACACGATATTTTTTATCAGAAATGCCAGAATAAAATTAAAATTTCTACTTCTCTCTTTCTTTCCCTAAAGCAAATTTATACTCCTTGTATAATATTTTTAAGTGTAAATTAATGCTATCCAAGACATTATACTGACTTTCCATATTTAAAACAGAGATTGCCTTCTATGTGGAATTAACTAACAGGAAAAATAAGTTAAAACAAGTTTGAAATAGCATACCTGTGTTATGGCCAAGTCTTTCATTGGAGTGCAGTGTAAGGTCAATCGTCCTGTCAATTTGAAAGATTTTTAAGTCTTCATCATCTAAGGCAATATCTCCCCAAAAGACAGCTTTAAATAAAAAAGAGCTCAATTTAATTAAAGAATTTATTTGGACAATAAAACCAATCTGAAGAATATGATGCCATGTTTACATCCTTTGGGAAAGTATATGGTAAACATATATCACGTATATTTGCTTACTGATCTATGTTTTTACATGAAGAAAGAAAGAAAAGTACATAGCAAGAGACAAATAATTTGTTTCAAAATCTTACAATCTATTTAGTTTTTATGCACATTGCCTAAATGCAATAATTTAAATGTAATACCTATCTATTAATATTTTTTTAGTATTTTACATGTAATAAAGTATGTAAGTAAATACAACAAAGCAGAAAAGACACTGAGACGTGAAAATTTGAACTATGAAGTAAAAACATACACTACCGAAAACCACAACTTTCAAATTTCCTAACATCTCTCTGAAAATGGGAATTATTTGAAGGAATTTTTATTATGTTTCACTAACTTTCTATATTACATTATGTTTCCCTCAGATAATTAATATGTTTATCTTTTTTCTGTAAACTGAGTAAAAAACACTTTTATTTTTTATTTTCCTCTCACATTATTTGTACACTTTCCTTTTGTATTTTAAACTCACTATCTGGATGCTTTCAAATTCTTTATTTTTCAAAACTCCAGTCTCTTTCAAACCTTCCTTTGGCCCTTTTGGTGGGTTCCTTCTTCTCTCTTTTCCTGTTTACTTCCAGTTTCTTTCCTTCTGACTTTTGCATAGTTAACTCATCTTCCCTAAGCTGCTACTACAACTCAGTGGACCATGATACAGCCCCACTTCCAAGAATTCAGGACCTATAACCTCAATCCTTCATCTCCACCTACTTTTTGCTGAGATTTTATCCTGAGATCTCCCTGACAACTTAAACTTACCATTAAAGATGAACTTAACAGGCCATATCCTCAATTGCTGTGAATGAAGTCAACAGAGCATGTACCAATTAACATGAGCTGAAGGGGTTGTTCATTATCTTTATCCAAATTCTTCCTTTTCCCACTGCCTCTGTCAATAGCTCTATTATTTGTCCCCTCAGAGTCACAAAACCCCTATGTTCAATCTTAGTGTCATCTTCAACTCCTTTCCCTCTTTCTCCCACCTGGGGAGCCATCACTAACTGCTTGGTTAGTGCTCTACAGCACTACAGCTCTACAGCAAATTGTTTTCATCACTTCCATGCAACTAACCCTTGTCCAAAGTCCAGTTGTTTCCAAGTCAGTCTCTCTGGTCATCTTCCATTCAAACTTATCCTAAACATTATTGTTAACTAGTATTTTTTTTCTCTGTCTATTCTTTATGTCACATTTTAGAGACCACTCATCAGATAATATTCTCAGTAGTTTCATGTTGCTGCAAAAGTTATGTACTTCTAATTTATTGATGTTCACATTCATTAGTGTTTAATCAAATCCTTATAAAAAAGAGTTTTTACTTAAGCAAAAAGATAGGTATTTCTAAAGAATTTCTAAATATTACATTACTTCCTCCTATCTGCATTATTTTTCTTGAAAACAAAGCAACTAGTAGAAATCACATTGTCTATGCCTTTGGTCTGCCTTGTAAAATACTTTAAGAAAACCCCCAGATCACCTACACAGTGTTCCAAACTGAAAGTGAAACTTTCCAATTAAGAATATAACAAACAATTTATGTCTTCCCAAATATTTATATTCTCATGTATATAATCTTTTGCACAAGATAATATTTCTTAGAAACCACAAATATTTGAGATCATTACTAAAACTGTTCAGTGACTTCTGGTACACTTCAGAACACTATCCTTCCAAGGGTTACTGTTCTTATCCTCACATTGGACACATTGGCTACATTATTCCTCTAGACAGCCTGTTCTCACCAGTGATGGTTTTTACCACAGGTCAAGAGACAGAGCTAGTGGCAGCTTTAGGTGGTTTAGGGTTTTTTCCCTTAAGCTTCTAGGAAAAAATACCCTTACATTATCAGGGTTTTGAATAGCAAGGAAACAAATCAGTAGTCTCTATCTGACTTGAATCAAATATTATTTACTTCTACTTTTATAAACATCTTCTAGAGATTTCTCTTAAGTGTCATTCATAACAGGGACCACTGTATAAGCACACTGAAAGATTGTAAACTTGAACAAACAGAACAGAAAATGGTTAAAAGAAGAAACTATTAACATTTCAGTCTATAAAGACAAAATGCGCCCCAGCAGAGGTCACACAGATTGTCCACACCAAACTCAAGGAAGTACTAAAGCTTAATAACAAACCCATTTTTCTTTCCTGGTGATATTGAGAGTTAACAAAAGGAAGATTCCAAATTAACAAAAGATGATGTAAAAAAATACCTCACTGACAGAAATGCACTAGCAGAAATCATTTTGGTTTCTGTGTGTAATACTAATGTATAAATAAGAAAACTCAAGGCAAATCAAACTTCATACTAATAATAAAGTAGAAAAAATTAGTGGAAAATATTCACCCTAGTCTTGATGATGCTTCTTTATCACTTTTACCATCTCACTGTGGTAACATTCACTTTAAGAAGAAAATAGAAATAGCAAAGACTAAATCCTATGAATTTGTCTGATAGAAAAGTATTGAATTTGTGTGCAAATATATAAAATATACGTCAGTGTTCAGGCAATGTGTAACAATTTTGTCTGTCGGGTTAGAAAGGAAAACAAAGCTATGCTATTTTTGTTAAATATCTGGACCATTACCTAGTTTTTGATTAGCAACCAAAGCCAAAGTTGAGTTTAAAAATAATAAAACCACAATAATATAACAATATGACCAATAGCAGCTACATTCTCTGATGTATTAAAGAAATATGAGTTAACACTGAAGAAAGAAATATATAAGATCATTTGATTAAAAGTATAATGGAAAGTTTGAAACTTTCTTTAGGCCACTGGTTCTTTTTACTCAAGACAATTCTATTTTGCAGAAGATGACAAACACGATGTAATGCAGAAACCTTAATAAAATGAACTCATTTGACTGTCATAATCTAATAAGTGACACTTTACTTTCAGTGAACTAAACCTCTCATCTTCTGAATTAATTTCGCTTTACCTAGCAAATGACAAAACAGTTAACTGGATGCTATTTAATTTCAATATAGTCCAAGCAATCAGCAACTGATAAAAAGAGAACTGTCTTTTTAAAAGTACATCTTCTTTCCAATGAAAGGTCTGCACTGAATATTAATTCTGCCCTTCAAAGCCTGAAGCACAACTCCACCTGAATTATCAAAAGAAGTAAAAAAAGTATCTCCCATAACTGTTAAATAATCCTTTAATTTTTTGGAATGCCGGTGTAAGCGTCAAACTACTTTGTAACTAGAGAAGACCATATTTTTATCTCCTGCCTTAAAATTTTTATGGCCTGGAACTATCTGAAGAAGTCAGTCCATATACTTCATCATGTCACAAACCAATCTTAAGCTTACAGAAAGCAAGCAGAGGATTGTTTGGGTATGCAAGGCATGATGTTAAAGACTTTGTTAAAAGCATGTTAGGATTAAGAGCTTTATTAACTCCCTCTAAGGAACATCTGACAGAATTGACCAGTTCAGTTGTTCACCTCCCTCATTTTTCATAGATATTTAATTCAAAAGTTTCATCCAGAAAATTATCAAGAGTTTGATAATCAACCAACTAGGCATGAAAAAAAAATGAAACAAAAGGACAGAAAAACTATTAAAGTGATTGAAACAGAACTTTAATGTATCTCTACTTATTTAAGGTTGCTTCATATTAACTCTTATCCTATCTATCTACTCTGTGATCACAATAACTTGATGTTAGAGATAGATTTTTCATTTAATTTGAAAATGCAAGACTGACAATAAACTTAAGAAATATCAGCAGCGTAGCAGAATACAACCAGTTCAGCCTTGTGGCAGGTCAGGAGCACCTGACTACCCGTCACAGCACCCAGAGACCAACCCCCTCAGAGATCATCACCACTCAGAAACCATTTTTGGGACCTGATTTGTTCTGATGACTCTGCAGGCTAGACACATGTTCAACTGAGACTTTCTCAAATTGAAATGTAAGCTGTGATCAGCCACACAGGTATTCTCTTGTTCTGTTTTGACAAAGAGGTTACTCCTCTACTGAAAAGATACCAATGAGAGGATTAAGGCAATATTAGAAGTCATTTTGAAAAAAAAGGTTCAAATTTTGGTATGCTACTGGGAGTGGAAAGCATAGGAAGTTTATGCTTTATACCCTTCACAGAAGCTGCCAAGAACAGCCAACAAAAAACATAAGAGTTAACTGCAAACCACGACTGAAATCTGAAGAGCTCCTTTAACATCCTTTAATAGGGGGTGGGATACTCAACACATTTCAAAGTCTGACCAGTAATGCAAGAGGTGACAAAAAGTGTGCTGGCCCTTCAGGGCAGATATTCATCTAAACCTACAAGCGCAGCAGTTCTAATTAGCAGACTCTTCCACAGTTGAGTCATTGAATACTTCCCTGAAACAACACAGCTATGTGCATTACAGTCTATCTTAGTGAGTCATTTTGTTCCACACAATCCATTCACAGTTTACATAACTGCCTCTAACTCTAAATGGAAAAAACGAAGATTAGAGCTAAGTAAATAAAGACAATTTCACCTCAATAAAAGGAAAATAACAAATGCTACTATAACTAACCTGGTTCTGTATTCCCATTGTGAAATTAAAGTTATTCTAATCAAGTGTTTGATAATTATCCAAACAACTTTCACTTTTCATTGAAGAAAAATATGTCAGAAAAAAGTTAAATGAAACTTTTAACAGCATTAAATAAAAGACAAGGGCAGTCTATTTTCACAGGCACATCAAAACAGAAAGTTAACTACTTCATGAATTTCACCATGCAGCATTTTCAAATCTGCACATGACTATAAGCATCAGCAGAGCAGCTTGATACACCTGAAAAAGCTCACACAGACAGCTGAAAACAGAAGTAACACCTCTGACAGGCTGCGTCCATGTTTCCATATACTGTAAA